ACTTTTGTGCTCCTAGGACTCCCCAACAAAATGGTGTAGTTGAAAGGAAAAATAGGTCATTAGAGGAACTTGCAAGAACTATGTTAAATGAATCTAATGTTCCTAAATATTTTTGGGCTGATGCGGTTAGTACTGCATGTTATGTTTTAAATAGAATGCTCATTAGGTCAACTATGAAATCTACTCCATATGAATTGTTTAATGGTAGAAAACCTAATGTTGCACATTTGAAAATTTTTGGTTGTAAATGTTTTGTACTAAATAATGGAAAGGACAATCTAGGAAAATTTGATTCAAAAGCCGATGAGGGCATTTTTCTAGGTTATTCTTTAACTAGCAAGGCGTATAGAGTATTTAATAGGAGAACTTTGAATATAGAAGAATCTATACATGTTGCCTTTGATGAGATTGTAGACCTTGGGGAAATCCTCTTGAGTCAAATAAAAGACTTGCAGGTGATGATGAATATATAAGAGAGGCCCTTGATGAATTATACTTGGAAGATAATGTGCCTTCTCAAACTCCTCAATTAGCAAAAGAATGGCAATGACCTAGAGGACTCTCAATGGACAATATCATAGGTGATATCTCAAAAGGGGTAAGAACTAGAAATATGAATAATTTTTGTATGTCTGTTGCTTTTGTGTCATAGATTGAACCTAAAAACATTGAGGAAGCACTTAAAGATGATCAATGGTGCATAGCCATGCAAGAAGAACTTAACCAATTTGAAAGGAATCAAGTCTGGGAACTAATCCCAAGAGAAGAGTCACATCAAGTTATTGGAACTAAATGGGTATTCAGAAATAAGCTTGATGAAGATGGTAATATAACAAAGAATAAAGCCAGACTTGTTGCAAAAGGCTATTGTCAGGAGGAAGGTATAGATTATGATGAAACTTATGCTCCTGTGGCCAGAATTTGCTAAGATTATGCAGGGAGAGTTTGAAATGTCTATGATGGGAGAATTAACATTCTTCCTTGGACTTCAAATCAAGCAACTTAAAGATGGAACTTTTATCTCTCAAACTAAATACTGCAAAGAGATCCTCAAAAAGTTTGGTATGGACACCTCAAAGGAAGCTAACACACCCATGGGAACTTCATGCTATTTAGACAAGGATGAATCAGGTTTGGAAGTAAATCAAACTATGTATAGAGGTATGATAGGATCACTATTATACTTAACTGCTAGTAGACCTGATATTATGCTTTCTGTCTGTGTGTGTGCTAGATTTCAGGCTTGTCCTAAAGAATCTCATTTAATTGCAGTAAAACATATTTTAAAATACTTAAAAGGAACTACTGGATTTGGCTTGTGGTATCCGGTCTGATGCTTGTATTAGTTTATTAGGATATTCTGATGCTGATTATGGTGGATGTAAAATTGATAGGAAAAGCACTAGTGAGACATGTCATTTGTTAGGTTCATCCTTAATATCATGGCATTCTAAGAAACAAGCATGTGTAGCTTTATCTACCACTGAAGTTGAATATATTGCAGCTGGTAGTTGTTGTGCTCAAATTCTGTGGATGAAACAACAATTAGAGGATTATAGCATATATTTAAATGACATTCCATTAATGTGTGATAATACGAGTGCAATCAACTTAACTAAAAATCCAGTAATGCACTCTAGGACTAAACATATTGAGATTAGACATCACTTTTTAAGAGATAATATCAGCAAAGGAAACTATAAGATAGAGTATGTAGACACTAAACGTCAATTAGCAGATATATTTACTAAGCCTCTACCCAAGGATAGATTCTATGATCTTCGAAGAGACTTAGGGATACTAGAAATAGCTTAAATTCTGCTTAATTTGACTGATTTTGGATGATTGCTATGATTAAATTCGTGATGCAGGATATTCATAGGTTATAATGTGTAAAAACCTTAAAAACTTGATATAGCCTCTGGAATAATCGATTACTGGAAGTGATAATCGATTATTTTTCCTCAAAACGTCCAAAACAGGGTATTCTCCTCTGGAATAATCGATTATCTCGTGAAATAATCGATTAAATGCCTCTAATAATCGATTATTTACTGGAAATAATCGATTAAAGCTGTCTGATGTAGAGATAATTGATGAATTTTCTTTTGTTATTGTCTTGATGTTGTAAAATATGATGTTTCTTTCATGCTATGATTGAGGGGGAGCTTTCTCTAACTTATGCATATTTTGAGGGGGAGCTCTTATGATTGATGTTGCAGAGTTCTTTTTGATTATAATCAAAATAGGGGGAGAAAAATTTAAAGCCTATGATTCAATATTAAATGTTATCTGGTATGTTTAATGTGTTTGTTAGTATGACAGATAAAACAGGTTATTACAAGGGCTTTAAAAAGATAATTTTGATCATCATCAAAAAGGGGGAGATTGTTGAACATTCAAGGACTTGATGTTGCAAATAATGATCATGAAGAATGTTGATTTTGATGATGATCCAAGAGCTTAAAGACTTAGAGTATTGAAGATTGAAGATTGATGATTTCTGTATTGTAATAACTCTGTTTTAGTTTGATTGAGTCTGTAATTATAGAGTCTAAGATAGCCGGTACATAGTCTGTAACTTAGAAGCTTCAAAATGCTCAAATTTATCATGCAGGCTCGGCTTTAATCGATTATATAGGTAAATAATCGATTAAAACAGTGAGAAAAACACTTTCTATACAAACTCACTGTTTTAATCGATTAAACAGCAAAATAATCGATTATTTCGTACCGTTCCGTACAGATAATCGATTATTTCACCAAATAATCGATTAAACCAGAGAGGATTGGGTTCTGACGTATTTGGCTCTGTTTTAATCGATTAAAACTCCATTTAATCGATTATTCCAGTCTGTTTCTGATTTTAAACTTCAAACAAACCCTATTTTCGAAAACCCAATTACCAAGAACCCTAGTTTCGAAAACCCCAATTCCTAAACCCTAATTTCCCTACTTAAACTCTGCTTTGGCACTCAGAAAAGAAGAACAACTCTTTCCATACAAAAGTTAAGTGCTGTGAGTGCCAGAGAACTGTTTGTTGCAAGGAAAGGGGGCTTTTGGAACCTGGTGTGAGGCTAGAAGCGATAAGAATCACTAAGTGGAGTTCTTAGTGGATTGTGTGCTGTGCCGTCTCTGGGGAAAGCTGTTCTTCATCTCTTGTGGGTTTCAAGAGAGGTGTTATCTTTAACTTTATCTTTTTCATTGTAATCTGTTTGTAACAATTTGTTCTTAGTGACAGCGTTAATCCTCTTTTGAGTGATTAGCAACTGGACGTAGGGTCTTTTGATCCGAACCAGTATAAACCTACTGTGTAATCTTCTCTACTCTTCTCTATTTTCATTTACGCAGTTTTTTTTTTAATCGGTAAAATTTGGGGAAAATTTTGAAAACCTAATTTTTATTAAGAAACCAATTCACCCCCCCTCTTGGTTTTTGTCCGACCACGCGAACATTCCGCTGCGCGATTCTAACAAAGAGGGCTTACCAGGAGGGGGTTCATACTCGTCAAACACCAGATGGGGGTGTGTACTCATCAGGCCTTACAAAAGGGGGCTTACCGGGTGAGCGTTCATACTCGTCAAACCAGATGGGGGTTCGTACTCATCAGCCGAAGGGGTCAGCTACCGCGTCAAAGGAGCATCCCGGAAGCGCACAACACAACATCTCCCCAGAGGATCATCCGCCGTAAAGACAGGAGTATCTGAAGGGAAACCGGGCAAGAGGGTCAACTCCTTTACCCTCTAGTCGATCACCTTGGCACAAAAGGCCAGCAGTCGACTGGTCGGGTAAAGGGGCGGCAGCTGTAGACCCCAAATCTTGCCCGGCCTCCAAATAAAAGTCAGAAGACCCCCTATTTGAAGACGGCCAAAGCCTAACAAGCCACTAGGAGAGACTATTAGGCCCTCGTACTAAGATAGGAGGGTTTTTTGGCCTGAAAAATAAAGTTTCTCGCCCTGAAGGGACGAGACCGCCATCTGGAAGGACCAGACCGCCGTCTTCCCTCACGCCAGGGACGAGACCGCCGTCTCGCTTGTCCAGACGGCGGTCTCGCCACTGCAAAGGTCGAGACGGCGGTCTGGGTTTTCCAAACGAGGGTCTCGACCCCCTGCCATGGTCGAGACGGCGGTCTGGATTGTCCAAATGGCGGTCTCGACCCTGTCAGGCGAGACCAGCGGTCTTGACCTGTCAGGCGCGAAAAACTATAAATAGGGGCTCCATTTCCCCTTTTTCCACACACCAACCACAGTAGCTCCTCCTTCTCTCTAGATTTTCTCTCTCTAGAACCCCTCCGAAGCATTTCCGGAGTTTCTGAGTATCTCTAGGCATAAATTGAGCGTTCTAAATCTTCTTTAGAATCCCTCCGAGGCATTTCCAGAGTTTCTGAGAGTTGTAAAGTGAAGGGTTGCCAAAAAGCACCCACTCTTTAAAGAGGAATATATAAAGCTTGCTTTGGAGGTGCACCCTCTCTCTTTCTAATTTTACCGCTTTCATTTAAAATTATGCAATAGACGCTAGGGCCATGTAGTCATAATCTTTAAATACCACATAATAAAAGGGTAAAAGCGCAATTTTCCAATTTAATTATTTATCCAAAGTAGCCAGCCTATCATAGGGAACCCGAAAGGGGCGTCGTAAAGGAACTAATACTTCCTTTACACGTAACTAACTCCCTTACCCAACTCTGGTTCTAATGACCAAAGTTGGTTTTCGAAAACCAACGCCTTTTTACACCTTTTCCGATGTTTCCAGTAAAAACATCGGTGGCGACTCCATGAACCCTTCAAAACCCGTTCTTGGGTTAGCCCGGTTATCGGACAACCCAAGAACACTCTTCAAAAACCTTGTCTCTAGGTTAGCCCGGTTATCGGACAACCTAAGGACGTTGTAACCACCCATAAAACGTGAAATATCAAAGAGGGTCAAAAAAACCATCGCGTCGCTCCGACCGCCCCTTTTTGGGAGGCGGCGACAATGGGGAAGAAGTTAAGGAGGGAAAGATGATTATCATGGATGGAGAAGAAATCAAGGAAAGAGAAGAAGTCACAGACGAAGAAGATGTTAAGGAAGGAGAAGATGGTTTGGATGGAGAAGAAGTTAGGGAAGGAGAAGAAGTTAGGGAAAGAGAGGAAGTCAAAGAAGGGGAAGAAGTTAAGGATGGAGAAGAAGTTTGGAATGGAGAAGAAATCAAGGAGGAAGAAGAAGCTAAGGAAGGAGAAGAAGTTATGGATGGAGTGTCAGTTAAGGATGGAGAAGAAATTTGGGATATAGATGAAGTTAAGGAAGGAGAAGAAGAAGTTAAGGATGGAGAAGAAGTTAGGGAAGGAGAAGAAGTTAAGGATGGGGAAATAGTTTGGGATGGGGAAAGTGAAGGAAGGAGAAGAAGTTAGGGAGGAAGAAGAAGAAGTTAGGGAGGAAGAAGAAGAAGAAGTTTTAGATGGAGAAGAAGTCAAGGATAAAGAAGAAATTATGGATGGGGAAGAAGTTAAGGAGGGAGAGATGATTATCATGGATGGAGAAGAAGTCAAGGAAGGAGAAGAAGTCACGGACGAAGAAGATGTTATGGAAGGAGAAGATGGTTTGGATGGAGAAGAAGTTAGGGAAGGAGAAGAAGTTAGGGAAAGAGAGGAAGTAAAAGAAGGGGAAGAAGTTAAGGATGGAGAAGAAGTTTGGGATGGAGAAGAAGTTTGGAATGGAGAAGAAATCAAGGAGGAAGAAGAAGCTAAGGAAGGAGAAGAAGTTATGGATGGAGTGTAAGTTAAGGATGGAGAAGAAATTTGGGATATAGATGAAGTTAAGAAAGGAGAAGAAGAAGTTAAGGATGGAGAAGAAGTTAGGGAAGGAGAAGAAGTTAAGGATGGGGAAATAGTTTGGGATGGGGAAGAAGTGAAGGAAGGAGAAGAAGTTAGGGAGGAAAATGAAGAAGAAGTTTTGGATGGAGAAGAAGTCACGGATAAAGAACAAATTATGGATGGGGAAGAAGTTAAGTTGGGAGAGATGATTATCATGGATGGAGAAGAAGTCAAGGAAGGAGAAGAAGTCACGGACGGAGAAGATTTTATGGAAGGAGAAGATGGTTTGGAGGGAGAAGAAGTTAGGGAAGGAGAAGAAGTTAGGGAAAGAGAGGAAGTTAAAGAAGGAGAAGAAGTTAAGGATGGAGAAGAAGTTTTGGATGGAGAAGAAGTTTGGAATGGAGAAGAAATCAAGGAGGAAGAAGAAGCTAAGGAAGGAGAAGAAGTTATGGATGGAGTGTAAGTTAAGAATGGAGAAGAAATTTGGGATGTAGATGAAGTTAAGGAAGGAGAAGAAGAAGTTAAGGATGGAGAAGAAGTTAGGGAAGGAGAAGATGTTAAGGATGGGGAAATAGTTTGGGATGGGGAAGAAGTGAAGGAAGGAGAAGAAGTTAGGGAGGAAGAAGAAGAAGAAGTTTTGGATGGAGAAGAAGTCAAGGATAAAGAACCAATTATGGATGGGGAAGAAGTTAAAGAGGGAGAGATGATTATCATGGATGGAGAAGAAGTCAAGGAAGGAGAAGAAGTCACGGATGAAGAAGATGTTACGAAAGGAGAAGATGGTTTGGATGGAGAAGAAGTTAGGGAAGGAGATGAAGTTAGGGAAAGAGAGGAAGTTAAAGAAGGAGAAGAAGTTAAGGATGGAGAAGAAGGTTGGGATGGAGAAGAAGTTTGGAGTGGAGAAGAAATCAAGGAGGAAGAAGAAGCTAAGGAAGGAGATGAAGTTATGGATGGAGTGTAAGTTGAGGATGGAGAAGAAAGTTGGGATGTAGATGATGTTAACGAAGGAGAAGAAGAAGTTAAGGATGGAGAAGAAGTTAGGGAAGGGGAAGAAGTTAAGGATGGGGAAATAGTTTGGGATGGCGAAGAAGTGAAGGAAGGAGAAGAAGTTAGGGAGGAAGAAGAAGAAGAAGTTTTGGATGGAGAAGAAGTCAAGGATAAAGAAGAAATTATGGATGGGGAAGAAGTTAAGGAGGGAGAGATGATTATCATGGATGGAGAAGAAGTCAAGGAAGGAGAAGAAGTCACGGACGAAGAAGATGTTATGGAAGGAGAAGATGGTTTGGATGGAGAAGAAGTTATGGAAGGAGAAGAAGTTAGGGAAAGAGAGGAAGTTAAAGAAGGAGAAGATGTTAAGGATAGAGAAGAAGTTTGGGATGGAGAAGAAGTTTGGAACGGAGAAGAAATCAAGGAGGAAGAAGAAGCTAAGGAAGGAGAAGAAGTTATGGATGGAGTGTAAGTTAAGGATGGAGAAGAAATTTGTGATGTAGATGAAGTTAAGGAAGGAGAAGAAGTTAAGGATGGAGAAGAAGTTAGGGAAGGAGAAGAAGTTAAGGATGGGGAAATAGTTTAGGATGGGGAAAAAGTGAAGGAAGGAGAAGAAGTTAGGGAGGAAGAAGAATAAGAATTTTTGGATGGAGAAGAAGTCAAGGATGAAGAAGAAAATATGGATGGGGAAGAAGTTAAGGAGGGAGAGATGATTATCATGGATGGAGAAGAAGTCAAGGAAGGAGAAGAAGTCATGGACGGAGAAGATGTTATGGAAGGAGAAGAAGTTAGGGAAAGAGAGGAAGTTGAAGAAGGAGAAGAAGTTAGGGAAAGAGAGGAAGTTGAAGAAGGAGAAGAAGTTAAGGATGGAGAAGAAGCTTGGGATGGAGAAGAAGTTTGGAGCGGAGAAGAAATGATTGAGAAAGAAGAACCTAAGGAAGGAGAAGAAGTTATGGATGGAGTGTAAGTTAAGGATGGAGAAGAAAGTCGGGATGTAGATGAAGTTAAGTAAGGAGAAGAAGAAGTTAAGGATGGAGAAGAAGTTAGGGAAGGAGAAGAAGTTAAGGATGGGGAAATAGTCTGGGATGGGGAAGAAGTGAAGGAAGGAGAAGAAGTTAGGGAGGAAGAAGAAGAAGAAGTTTTGGATGGAGAAGAAGTCAAGGATAAAGAAGAAATTATGGATGGGGAAGAAGTTAAGTTGGGAGAGAAGATTATCATGGAAGGAGAAGAAGTCAAGGAAGGAGAAGAAGTCGCGGACGGAGAAGATGTTATGGAAGGAGAAGATGGTTTGGATGGAGAAGAAGTTAGGGAAGGAGAAGAAGTTAGGGAACGAGAGGAAGTTAAAGAAGGAGAAGAAGTTAAGGATGGAGAAGAAGTTTGGGATGGAGAAGAAGTTTGGAATGTAGAAGAAATCAAGGAGGAAGAAGAAGCTAAGGAAGGAGAAGAAGTTATGGATGGAGTGTAAGTTAAGGATGGAGAAGAAATTTGGGATGTAGATGAAGTTAAGGAAGGAGAAGAAGAAATTAAGGATGGAGAAGAAGTTAGGGAAGGAGAAGAAGTTAAGGATGGGGAAATAGTTTGGGATGGGGAAGAAGTGAAGGAAGGAGAAGAAGTTAGGGAGGAAGAAGAAGAAGAAGTTTTGGATGGAGAAGAAGTCAAGGATAAAGAACCAATTATGGATGGGGAAGAAGTTAAGTTGGGAGAGATGATTATCATGGATGGAGAAGAAGTCAAGGAAGGAGAAGAAGTCACGGACGGAGAAGATGTTATGGAAGGAGAAGATGGTTTGGATGGAGAAGAAGTTAGGGAAGGAGAAGAAGTTAGGGAAAGAGAGGAAGTTAAAGAAGGAGAAGAAGTTAAGGATGGAGAAGAAGTTTGGGATGGAGAAGAAGTTTGGAACGGAGAAGAAATCAAGGAGGAAGAAGAAACTAAGGAAGGAGAAGAAGTTATGGGTGGAGTGTAAGTTAAGGATGGAGAAGAAATTTGGGATGTAGATGAAGTTAAGGAAGGAGAAGAAGTTAAGGATTGAGAAGAAGTTAGGGAAGGAGAAGAAGTTAAGGATGGGGAAATAGTTTGGGATGGGGAAAAAGTGAAGGAAGGAGAAGATGTTAGGGAGGAAGAAGAAGAAGAAGTTTTGGATGGAGAAGAAGTCAAGGATGAAGAAGAAATTATGGATGAGGAAGAAGTTAAGGAGGGAGAGATGATTATCATGGATGGAGAAGAAGTCAAGGAAGGAGAAGAAGTCATGGACGGAGAAGATGTTATGGAAGGAGAAGATGGTTTGGATGGAGAAGAAGTTAGGGAAGGAGAAGAAGTTAGGGAAAGAGAGGAAGTTGAAGAAGGAGAAGAAGTTAAGGATGGAGAAGAAGTTTGGGATGGAGAAGAAGTTTGGAGCGGAGAAGAAATGAAGGAGGAAGAAGAACCTAAGGAAGGAGATGAAGTTATGGATGGAGTGTAAGTTAAGGATGGAGAAGAAAGTCGGGATGTAGATGAAGTTAAGGAAGGAGGAGAAGAAGTTAAGGATGGAGAAGAAGTTAGGGAAGGAGAAGAAGTTAAGGATGGAGAAATAGTTTGGGATGGGGAAGAAGTGAAGGAAGGAGAAGAAGTTAGGGAGGAAGAAGAAGAAGAAGTTTTGGATGGAGAAGAAGTCAAGGATAAAGAAGAAATTATGGATGGGGAAGAAGTTAAGTTGGGAGAGATGATTATCATGGATGGAGAAGAAGTCAAGGAAGGAGAAGAAGTCGCGGATGGAGAAGATGTTATGGAAGGAGAAGATTGTTTGGATGGAGAAGAAGTTAGGGAAGGAGAAGAAGTTAGGGAACGAGAGGAAGTTAAAGAAGGAGAAGAAGTTAAGGATGGAGAAGAAGTTTGGGATGGAGAAGAAGTTTGGAATGGAGAAGAAATCAAGGAGGAAGAAGAAGCTAAGCAAGGAGAAGAAGTTATGGATGGAGTGTAAGTTAAGGATGGAGAAGAAATTTGTGATGTAGATGAAGTTAAGGAAGGAGAAGAAGTTAAGGATGGAGAAGAAGTTAGGGAAGGAGAAGAAGTTAAGGATGGGGAAATAGTTTGGGATGGGGAAGAAGTGAAGGAAGGAGAAGAAGTTAGGGAGGAAGAAGAAGAAGAAGTTTTGGATGGAGAAGAAGTTGTTAGAATCGCGCAGCGGAATGATCGCGTGGTCGGACAAAAACCAAGAGGGGGGTGAATTGGTTTCTTAATAAAAATTAGGTTTTCAAAATTTTCCCCAAATTTTACCGATTAAAAACTGTGTAAATGTAAATAGAGAAAGGGATAGAGTCTTACACAGGAAATTTATACTGGTTCGGATCAAAAGACCCTACGTCCAGTTGCTAATCACTCAACAGAGGATTAACACTGTCACTATAAACAAATTGTTACAATACAAATTACAATGGAAGAGATAAAGTAAAAGATGACACCTCTCTTGAAACCCACAAGAGATGAAGAACAGCTTTCCCCAGAGACGGCACAACACACAATCCACTAAGAACTCCACTTAGTGATTCTTATCGCTTCTAGCCCACACCAGGTTCAGAAAGCCCCCTTTCCTTGCAACAAACAGTTCTCGGCACTCACGAGCACTTAACTTTTGTATGGAAAAGGTTGTTCTTATTTTTCGAGTGCCAAAGCAGAGTTTAAGTAGGGAAATTAGGGTTTAGGAATTGGGGATTTCGAAACTAGGGTTCGGGTAATTGGATTTTCGAAAATAGGGTTTGTTTGATGTTTAAAATTGGAAACAGATTGAAATAATCGATTATTTGGAGTAATAATCGATTAAAACAGAGCCAAATATGTCGGAACCCAATCCTCTCGGTTTAATCGATTATTTGATGAAATAATCGATTATCTGATCTGAACGATACGGAATAATCGATTATTTTGCTCGTTTAATCGATTAAAGCGATGAGTTTTAGACAGAAAATGGTTTTCTCACTGTTTTAATCGATTATATACCTATTTAATCGATTAAAGCCGAAGCCTGCATGATAAATTTGAGCATTTTGAAGCTTCTAAGTTACGAGACTATGTACCGGCTATGTTAGACTCTAAAATTACAAACTCAATCAAGCTAAAACGAGTTATTACAATACGAAATCATCAATCTTCAATCTTCAATACTCTAAGTCTTTAAGCTCTTGGATCATCATCAAAATCAACATTCTTCATGATCATTATTTGCAACATCAAGTCCTTGAATGTTCAACAATCTCCCCTTTTTGATGATGATCAAAATTATCTTTTTAAAGCCCTTGTAATAACCTTGTTTTATCTGTCATACTAACAAACACATTAAACATACCGAGATAAATTTTAAAATTGAATCATAGGCTTTAAATTTTTCTCCCCTATTTTGATTATAATCAAAAAGAACTCGCAACATCAATCATAAGAGCTCCCCCTCAAAATATGCATAAGTTAGAGAAAGCTCCCCCTCAATCATAGCATGAAAGAAACATCAAATTTTATTTCATAATCATTCATTCATTATAATATAAAGATATTAACAAAATAAAATCTAAAATTCTTCACTATCCTCATCATTAAAGTGAGTATCAAATCTATTTTCTAATCTACCCACTCTATCATCTACATCGGATATACGGCGAATAATTTCATCATGTCGTACACCGGAAAGATTGAAGAATGATTGCATTCTTTGATTCATGTCGGAAAGCATATCTTCCATGGATCGTCTTGATTCTTGATGAGAAGAGGATGTTCCTATACTTTGGATTTGGGTAGAGGGAAACTCAGCTGCTGGAGGCATATCTTCATCCGAGTCTTCAATTGCATCACCTTGATTTTGGACGTCATCTTTATGAACATAGATGTCATTGACCCGCACCATTTCTAGATGAATCAAAGTGCTGTCCAGCATGCGGTTCAAGTTAGTAGTTCGGACAACTTGTTCACCTTCAACATTGACTCCTTTATATTCAAGAATTCGGGATACAAGAAGAGCATATGTGTAGACCCCAAATCTTGCCCGGCCTCAGAATAAAGTCAGAAAGCTTCCCATTTGAAGACGGCCGAAGCCTAACAAGTCATTAGGAGAGGCTATTAGGCTCCCGTACCAAGATAGGAAGGTTTTTTGGCCCGAAAATAAAGTTTCTCGCCCTGAAGGGACGAGACCGCCGTCTGGAAGTACCAGACCGCCGTCTCGTCTCAGCGCCAGGACGAGACCGCCGTCTCGATTTTCCAGACGGCGGTCTCGTCTCCTGCAAAGTCGAGACGACGGTCTGGATTTTCCAGACGGCGGTCTCGATTTCTGCCATGGACGAGACGACGGTCTGGACTTTCCAGACGGCGGTCTCGACCCCTGTCAGAGGAGACGGCGGTCTCGACCTGTTAGGCACGAAAAACTATAAATAGGGGCTCTCCCCCCCTCATTTCCACACAGAATCAACATAGCTCTCCCTTCTCTCTAGACTTTCTCTCTCTAAGAATCCTTCTGAGGCATTTCCGGAGTTTCTGAGCGTCTTTAGGCACAAAACTGAGCGTTCTAAATCTTCTTTAGAATCCCTCCGAGGCATTTCCGGAGTTTCTGAGAGTTTGTAGAGTGAAGGGTTGCCAAAAAGCACCCACTCTTTAAAGAGAATATATAAAAAGCTTGCTTTGGAGGTGCACATTATCTCTCCTTCTAATTTTACCGCTTTCATTTAAATGTATGCAATAGATACTAGGGCCATGTAGTCATAAATTTAAATTACGCATAATAAAAAAGGTAAAAGCGCATTTTCCAGTTTAATTATTTAAAGTAGCCGGCCTGTCATAGGGAACCCGAAAGGGGCATCGTAAAGGGACTAATACTCCCTTTACACGTAACTAACTCCTTTACCCAACTCTTGTTCTAATGACCAAGTTGGTTTTCGAAAACCAACGCCTTTTTAAACCCCTTTTCCGATGTTTATGGTAAAAATATCGGTGGCGACTCCATAGAACCCAAAAAGAAATAAATTCTCGGGTTAGCCCGGTTATCGGACAACTCGAGGATACCTTATGAAAACCTCGTCTCTAGGTTAGCCCGGTTATCGGACAACCTAAGGACGTTGTAACCACCCATAAAAACGCGAAAATCAAAGAAGAGTCGAAAAACCATCGCGTCGCTCCAACCGCGCACCCCCTTTCGGGGGGGAGGCGGCGACAATATGGAATCTTGAATGTTGGATGACGTTTGGCCTTTAACATTATCATTGTGACAAGAACACCCCAATCTAAAGGTTCATTATTCATGATGGCATGAATAATGCGAAGATCAATAGAAGAGCATTGGGCATGATTTGTGGCCCGGGGACATAAAATCCAGACAAGCAAATGAAGAATCATGCGTTCTTCCTTCTTCAAGGGTCCAGCATGAAGAATACGTCCAATCTCCATGGAGGGATTCCGCAGAAAAGATCTATAAGCTAGGAACCTGTCAAAATCATCTAGCTCACCATAAACATTAATAGCATCTTCTCTAATTGGGAAGTGAGCAACATTTTCCCAAATATCATCATCTAGAATTATGGTCACCCCTTTGACACGGGATGTAGCAATTTGATCCCTAAACTTAAATCTAGAAAAGAATACCCTAACTAAGTCAGGATAGTAAGTACCTTGCATTTGGATAAATGGGAGAACTCCTTGAATTTCAAGAAGATTTGGAAAATTAAACCCTCTATGTATAAATTGCTCACCAATAAGAAACTTAGGAGAAATGATGGCACGTTCCTTCCAGTACATCAGAAATTCTTGTTGCCCTTCCGTATCAGAAATCCATCCTTCAACAGAATTAGGACGGGAATGAGAAGAAGGTGTAGATCTTCTTCTTGTAGGAATCTTAGGGCGGGATGATGAGGCCATTAGAAAGAATAGGTAAACTTGAAGAGATTTTGCAGACAAGTGAGGGAAAATGAGGCAAAGAGAGTATAGATTGCAAGAAAACTTGATTGCAAGAGTTTAGAAGTGAGTATACTTGAACTAGAGGTCTCTATTTATAGGGAAAACACTTCCAACGGTCATATAGAAGAGATTCCATGGCAAAATATCCGTTGGCAATGGCTAGGAGGCAAGACTGGTCGCATTTAATCGATTATATCTCAAAATAATCGATTATTTCGATATCAGACAGCTTTAATCGATTATTTCCAGCAAATAATCGATTATCTAAGGCATTTAATCGATTATTTCATGAAATAATCGATTATTCCAGAGGAGAATACCCTGTTTTGGACATTTTGAAGGGAAATAATCGATTATTTCATCAATTAATCGATTATTCCAGAGGCTACATCAAGTTTTTGAGGTTTTTACACATAATAACCTATGAACATCCTACGCCACGAATTTTAACAATCATCCAAAAACAGTCAAATTAAGCAGAATTTAAGTTATTTCTAATATCCCTAAGTCTCTTCTAAGATCATAGAATCTATCCTTGGGTAGAGGCTTAGTAAATATATTTGCTAATTGACGTTTAGTGTCTACATACTCTATTTTACAGTTTCCTTTGCTGATATGATCTCTTAAAAGTGATGTCTAATTTCAATATGTTTAGTCCTAGAGTGCATTACTGGATTCTTAGTTAGATTGATTGCACTTGTATTATCACACATTAATGGAATGTCATTTAAATATATGCTATAATCCTCTAACTGTTGTTTCATCCACAGAATTTGAGCACAACAACTACCAGCTGCAATATATTCAGCTTCAGTGGTAGATAAAGCTACACATGCTTGTTTTTTAGAATGCCAAGATATTAAGGATGAACCTAACAAATGACATGTCCCACTAGTACTTTTCCTATCAATTTTACATCCACCATAATCAGCATCAGAATATCCTATTAAACTAATACAAGCATCAGACGGATACCACAAACCAAAACCAGTAGTTCCTTTTAAGTATTTTAAAATATGTTTTACTGCAATTAGATGAGATTCTTTAGGACAAGCCTGAAATCTAGCACACACACAGACATAATGCATAATATCATGTCTACTTGCAGTTAAGTATAATAGTGATCCTATCATACCTCTATACATAGTTTGATTAACTTCCAAACCTGATTCATCCTTGTCTAGATAGCATGAAGTTCCCATGGGTGTGTTAGCTTCCTTTGAGGTGTCCATACCAAACTTTTTGAGAATCTCCTTGCAGTATTTAGTTTGAGAGATGAAAGTGCCATCTTTAAGTTGC